ATCAATACCTTCGTCAATTGTCTTTCCATCTGCTCATTCAACTTTTGGATTTGGTTTAAAACTGTCTTTGTATTTTGGCATTCTTCCTCCTTTATATTTAAATGTCCCTGAATAATCTTGTGTCGATCTGTAATTTAACGGGACAAAAATTTAATATGTAAATTGAAGGAATGATAAAACAAAGTTCGTACCTTCCCAACTTTGTCGATCATATGAATGCTGAATTTTTTCATGACGGAGCGTTGACAGTTCTTGATTCGCGTTTTGAAGCCTCTCATCAAGATCTTTCATTTCTTGCAACGAAATCTCAAGTCGAGACTTCAATAATTTAATATATGTAATTAGTTAATAATAAATTTTGATTTAATGAGGTAAATATATGTGTTTCAAGTAAATAAAAACATAATACCTTAAGATCGGTAATTTCCGCTTCGTAATCGCGCCCACGAGTACCAAGAATTGATGGAATCATTCTTACATAAGCGTTAGCATCTTGAATACTATTGATACTTCCTCGTAAGGTCAATTCTTGTTGTAACCCTCGCTCTCGCTCAAGTGACTCAACTTGCGAACATAATTGTCGCTGTCTCATTTGAAGGCGAGAAATTTCTTGTACAGCGGATTGATTTTCCGAATCTTTTAGAGTGATCTGATCTTGTAGCACTTTAATTTGATTTTCAAGTGTTGAGATCTTTTTCATTAAACTCTTTTTCTCGGCTTTTAAGTTAAAACTTAATCTATAAAGACTATCAATATCGTGTGGTTCATTATCTTCTCCGATATCCATTTGAGGTGACCTTGGGGTGCCTCCTCGAAATTCATCAACTTGACGTATTAATATAGAGTTGTGTTTTATGTACACTTCTTTTTCTATTAATTAGAACAAGTCAGCTGATGGCTTAAAAGAGAAGTAAATCATATGCTCTCATAAAATTTATTGAATATGTAAATACCATTTTGTAGTTGATTATTACGATCCGTTAGTTGCAGATTTTCTGACTGTAAATTGTTTACCTAAATTAATGTATAAAATGAGTTTAAATTGATATATTACATCAAAAATTAATTAGACAAAATACACAATGTACCGATTGATTAAGTTGTTGAATCTCTTCATGACACGCTCTTAGCTGTTCTGAAATTGTCTGATTTTCCGCAACCATTTGATTATACTCCACCGTTCTTTGATGAAGGAGCGGAGTCTATTCAAGCGCAAAGTTTAGTTATATATCTTAATAGTAACAATAAAAGTACTGAACAATAATTACATAATTTTCGAGTTCTTTGTTGAAAGTTGCTAGTGCTTCAGTTAGTTCCCGATTCTTTCTTCTCTCTTGTAATAATTGCTCTTGAAGTTTTGAATACTCCGAATACTGTAAAAAATATTGTTACTAAGTTTAATATTTACATAAGTAAATAGCAAAATAATAAGATGTAGAGATTTTAATTCTACCATCTGCACAATAGATTTTCCCTTAGACTGTAATGCCATGCTAACGGCACTTCCCGGAGAAACTGATGATACAGATGATATCTGGCTTAAATGTTTATTTTCATCCTCGATCCGCCGAATATCTTCATTCAGCTTTTCTATTTCTGATTGAGACTAAATAAATAATTTTAAAATAAAATAAGAACATATTATAGATGTAATAGTTCAATGATTAATGCAAAATCACCTGAGTGAGTTTATTATTTGCTTCCGATAAAGAATATTGAAGGTCAGCTATCTCTCCTAGAAAATATAATTATGTTAGAACATGCATTTCTAATACTGTAATACTATTTTTTATATGCATTTTCCTACTTTGTGCCCGATTAATCGCCTCTTTATCTTCTTGCTGGCGTTTTTCATATATTTCATTCAATCTCTTTAAAGATTTTCCTTCAGCTAAGACTTTATCCATTACTTCTTTGTAATATCTTTCTTTATCTTCTTTTTCCACATTTGTTTTCTGAACTATAACAATCTGTTCTTTGAAAGCATACTCATATTGACTCGCTTGTTGTCGTGTTGTATCGAGTTCAATCAATAATTTTTCGACCTTTCCATTAAGTATATCGATTTCTTTATTCTAAAATTAAACTTTTTAAGCATAATTGAATCAATTCAAAATACAAAGACAGTTTTAAACCAAATCCAAAAGTTGAATGAGCAGATGGAAAGACAATTGACGAAGGTATTGAT